CAAATAGGAAAAGAGTAAGTCAAGTTATCCCTCTTTGCTGACGATATGATTCCATACCTTGAAAATCCAAGAAAATCTGTCAAAAATCTGCTTGCACCAATAAAGGACTTTGGCAAAGTCTCAGGGTACAAATAAATGTGTAAAAGACAGTTGCATTCCTATATACCAACAACAAGCAGGCAGAGACTCAAATTAAAAGCACAATCCCATTCACAATAGCCATAAAAAAAACAAAAAGAGAAAGAAATACCTCGGCATCTTCCTAAGCAGAGAAGTGAAAGACCTTTACAACGAGAACTACAAAACAACGCTCAAAGAAATCCAAGAAGACACAAGCAAATGGAAAAATATTTCATGTTCATAGGTAGGAAGAATCAACATTGTTAAGATGTCCATCTTACCAAAGGCAATCTACAGTTTCAACACAGTACCCATTAAGTTATCAACATCGTTCCTCTCAGACCTGGAAATGACAATACAGAAATTCATATGGAAACATAAACGACTACGAATAGTCAAAACAATCTTTAACAAAAGAAACAAATCAGGGAGTATCACACTTCCACACTTCAAACTTTAAGGCTAGAGTAATCAAGTGTGGTATTGGTATAAAAACAGGCATATAGACCAATGGAACAGGATAGAGATTCTGGAAGCAAAACCTTGATTTCTCAACCAACTCATCTTTGACAAAGCCTCCAACAACAACCACTGGGGAGAGGGGAACCTATTCAGTAAATGCTGCTAGGAAAACTGGCTGATCACATGCAGAAGGTTGAAACAGGACCCCTATTTATCATCATACACAAAAACTAAGTCTAAATGGATCAAAGACCTAAACGTAAGACCTCAAACTGTAAGAATCTTAGAAAACGCAGGAGACACCCTTATGGAAATTGGAACTGGCAACCAATTCCTATTTAGAACCCTAAATGCCCATACCTTAAGAAATAAGATAGACAAGTGGGACCTCAACAAACTGATGAGCTTCTGCAAAGTGAAAGAAACCATTAAGAGATCAGGGAGACAGACCTCAGAATGGGAAAAAATATTTGCCAACTGTATATCTGACAAAGGCCTAACACGTAGGATCTACAAGGAACTCAAATGTGCCAAAAGGGAAAAAAACAAACAGCCCCATTAAAAAGTGGACAAAGGACATGACCAGACATTTCTCAAAAGATGATATACAGGCAGCCAATAGACACACAAAAAAGTACTCAGCCTCACTCATCATCAGAGAAATGCAAATCAAACCCACATTGAGATACCACCTAACCCCAGTAAGAATGACCATCATTAACAAACAAATAACAACAGATGCTGGCCAGGATGCTGAGAAAAAGGATCGCTTCTACACTGCTGGTGGGAATGCAAACTAGTGCAACCTCTTTGGAAGACAGTGTGGCAATTTCTGAAAGAACTAGAAATTGACCTTCCATGTGACCCAGCCATCCCCCTATTGGGAATATACCTGGAGGAACTCAAATCATTTTACAAAAAAGGTACCTGTATACATATGTTTGTTGCAGCTCTTTTTACAATAGGAAAAATGTGGAACAAACCATGCTGCTCATTGAAGCTGTATTGGATCTTAAAAATATGGTACATACACAGAATGGAATGTTACACAGCTAGAAAGAAGGACAAACATATGGACTTCGCAGCAACTTGGATGGATTTAGAGTCAATCATACTCACTGATCTATCACAGAAACAAAGAACAAAGTACTGTATGGGCTCACTCATAAGCAGACCTAGAACAATTATAATACTATAAGTAAGGGATTGGCAGTAGTGGGAAACAGTCAGGGGAGGAAGGTGGGATTGACATTTGTGGGAAACTGCTAGGGGAGGAAGGGGCACACCTCATCAGCAAGGGTACCTGCATAATCAACATTTGTAGACCTAACCCTGAATTGTACCCACATCTTTATAATATAAATAAATAAATAAAATTAAAATTATCCCCAGAGTGAACAGATGTTATCCATTAGAACCTTATTACCACTTTTTTATTTTATTACTTATTCCTAATTTAAAATAATGCGTGAATATTTATTCATAAATCAGTAACTTCTATACTATAGAAATAAATATAGAGGAATGTGTTTTAAAAGTTCATGTTGCAAGTTTGAAAATATTTTTGTGGTTAGACAATTCACTTTGTAAATTCATAGTTGCTCAGTTTGACAATTTTGTAAGCTAAATCTAGTGGTGGTTAGGCATATGGCTTACACCTGTAATCCCAATATTTTGGGAGGCCCAGGTAGAGATGCTTGTGACCAGGAATTTGAGACTAACTTGGGCAACAGCAAAACCCTGTCTTTATAAGAAAAAAAGTCTACTGTCAATGAGATTGTAGAAAAAAGTAATTGTAACTTTGAGGGAAAAATACAAAGAAGGAGTGAACAATATATTAAACATTATTTTATTCATAAGATTTATTGACTTATTTTGAATTAATATCCAAAGAACCATATTGCTCAAGATTGAAGAAAAAGCTCACCAAATGAATTGAGTTACCTTCATTCTAGACTATCAAACTGACTAAGAAAACAAACACATAAAATACAACTAACCAATAACCAGTATACACAAACAGTATCTGAGAGTTTCTATACTGACCTCTCAATGTACTACTTTGTGTATACAACAAAATGTTATCAGTGGCTATTTTTATCTTCTAAATTTTCTAAAATTTTCTAAATTTTTACAACCAAGTTATTTGAATAAAGAAGAAGAAACAGATTGACAATCTTCAACATACATGCTAATAAGAGTAATTCCCTTTGTTAAAGCAAACAGAGTTTTGAATTAACTATCTTCCCAGTGTTGCTACTTTACAAAGTTATTCATACATTTAATTGAGTTTGGTAAAATACAATTGTTATTGTCTTTTTGGAACCCATATGTATTTTTAGGCTGAATGAATAAATATAAAATATAGCTTTTTAAAATTAGATGGATATTTATTTTTAAACTAATCTTTTCTCAATTGTGAGCACTTAGTTTCCCCTGTTTATATAGGAAAAGATATTTGAAGTAATAAGTTATTTTCATTGGACTTTATAAGGGTGAGACTATAGAAATGTCAAGATTTCATATTATTTTCTTTGAGTTGTGCAGATTCTTGGATAAATTGATAAAAAAAATTTCACGGTCTATTTTTATCATCTTTAAGCAAATCTATCAAGGTGAATTCATTGTCACATATTAATTTTGTTTGCTCATTTTAATTTTTTAAATAAACACAGCTTTAATTAGATGAGAGTATTTTGGAGTTCTAAATTAGGCCAAATCAAATTAATAAATGTTTATTGATCAGTATGTTTAAGATCTTATTCTTTCAAATACAATTGTTCCTGTTGCATGGAAACCTACCAACAAGTTGGATTTGCTCAGAAAATACAAGGAGAAATGCCTTTATACTAATATTTTTATATGTTTAGTTACTAGAATAGAATCATTAATCATAACAGAATCTAGTGGGAAGCTTTTCAACTGTGGTAAACATTTGTGTGTGCGTTTCTTTTATCTGTTTTTCTTTTATCTGTTTTCTCCAGGTAGTTTCTATTTGCTCTAAATCTCCACAGGTAAACATCTACTGAAATGTAGTGATAAAATTTGGTTGATTAATCATTCTGACTAGTCATTCAAGGAGAAAGCAAAACTATCAAAGCAAAAACAGAGAAAGTGAATATCTAGGCATTTCACAAGAGCTTTTGATTTTAATAATTTAGACACATCTCTGACACAACAGTTTTCATATTTTCCTTAAATCCATACTATCAAGCCATACATAAACACAAAGCCTACTTTACAAGAAAATATATGTCCTTTAGCACTAGCTATTCTGCTAGTGAACAATAATTTAAAGGGTTAGAATATTGAATTCACAAATATTCCCAGACACCTCTTTCATACAGGTACTGTCCTGTATGCTAGAAATAGAACTAAAAGGTGTGGCCTCTACTCTCAAGGAGCACATAGCCTAGAGGGGAAATGAGATGGACACAAATAATATAGTATGTTAGAAACTCTGTCAGGCATATGCATAGGGTGCTATGAATGAACATGGCATATTTAGATATCAGAGTCTACAGTTAAGCACTTGACCTCTCTGTCATACTTCTCTCAACATTTGCTAGTTCTGTACCAAGAGTTCAGGACATGTTACGTTCCTCTGTCTCCTATTTCTAAGTAGTTCCTCACAAATGAAACATGACTGTTGCAAATAACATCCTGAGAAATTTTGTACAAAATTTTCCTATGTATCAGTCTCATATAGTGCCTAATTTTTCTTTGCTTATAACATACCACTTCATAATATCAGCTTTCTTTGTACCATATTAATAAAAAAGTTCCAAAGATGCCAAGTCTGTTTAAAATAATAAGAATAAGTCTCAGCTTATCTTCTCACTACAATGTCAGATTTAAAATTACCCTAATTTTAGTCAAGCCAGTCTTTCCTCAATTGATATACACATCTTGTCATTCCACCTTGTATTGTCTTTTTTAAAAAAAACAATTTACATAATGTTAGCAAGATCATTTCGAAATTTCGATTCTGGCAGTGGAATATTTCTTCAAAATTATAATTAAATTAATATAATCTTGTTACTAATAGTAAAATATATTTGAATGTTCATGAAGTCAAAAGATACCAGATATGTTATTAAGATAAATATTGTTTTTTAAATCATAAAGTATTCACTAAGAGGAATAGTAATTTCTATATTAAGTATGGACTAGCATTTGTAAGGAATTTGATGCTGTAAGACAATCTCAACCAACTTTCTCTCTCTCCCATGATTTGCCCTCTCAGCAGTTTTCTAAGACTCCCTCATTCAAACAGCACACAGTGCAACTAAATAGGTATCACAGAAACCTGAATCAAAATCTAATCCCGAGGATGTAACACCAACAAAATAAGACAAAACACAATGTCAGCTTTGGAAATCACAATAGCAGTTCCAGGAACAGATATCAAACAGATTTCACTGACCTGAGGAAATATCTATCTGACTCATCTTGGTCTGTGTGATGTTGATGTGAACACCCACTTTGCTTTCAGTGAGGTCAATCTCCACGTTGCCCAAATTATCCGCAAAGTGACTGAAGACCAGGAGACCATTGGGGTTCCAAGTCCTGAACTGGAAGCTGACTGAGAACAGGTCCTGGTTGAGCCGTCCAGGCACCTCCAGGTAACTTGTAGCATTGAAAAAGACAGGTACCGTATAGGGCTCCACACAAGAGAAACTCAAATTTCCCTATAAAACAGAAAGGCACAATTTGAGCCAAATAAGAAACAAAATAAATATCCATGTAAAGGTGTGGACAAAGCTATAGTTCTACAAATTTTGAAGCAGCGATTGAGTCTGTGCCAAATTCACACGCAGTATCATGACATGGATTCAGCGATCAGATGCATCATCATGAATCTACACCAAGTGTAAGACCTAGTATTGTGCAGCAGTTGGCTGTATAGTTGTGGGACATAACAAGCGGCTTTCACCGTGGAATTGATGGTCTGACAGCCTGATATGGTGGGCTGACCATGAGATTTGATGTGTACATGTGTGTTGTGGGCTTTGCTGGCAGAAGGTGTATCAAGGAGAGAGACACCTTTGCCCTTTTCTGGATATCTGATGCCAATGTTTCTTAATATATCAATTACCCTGGTCTCAATGGGACCTGTGGTTGTTTGTTTGCTCTTTCTAAAACTGATATTTTGAGGCAAATATCTTTGGATTTTATCTGCATACCTAATATACATATAACTATTAATAATTATTTAGTCTCAATATAATTGTGATTATTTCATTATCTAACTCAAAACCCCATTTAAATTCCCATAAAGTGTGGTTATATCACAATGCATTAATGCTTGTGGATCTAGCAGTACCATACTCCTCCTTTTTTGGCATGACCCTCTCCAAATGGATTTACCATTTATATACATAAAATTTTATATTACAGTGCCTAAGTATATTCCTTTTAAAGATACATATATCAACACCACATAGATATAATAAATGCCTAGTTCGTTCATGTTAGTACATTATTTATTAAAGGTAATGCAGGCTGTCTTTCTGAATTAATACTCAAATTCAATTTGTTCTGTTCCTTCACAGATGATTATTTTTTAAATGCTTGCTTTTACTAATGAAAATGTCTAGGCATAAAAACTGAGATGTTCTAACTGATCACATACCTGTGTTGAGAGGATCACCTCCTTGACAAAATTAAAGATCCATCCTGAATAATGGTTCTGATTCAGGAGCCAATGCATAATGAGGGATTGGGAAGGTGTGAAGAGAGGGGTTGGGATGAGTGCTGAGGTAATTTCACTGAAATATCAGCACCTGACATCTTTGAAAGCAAATGTTTTCTATAAATATTTGCCTTTGTAGGCCTGCTTGCAGAATGTCCTACTTGTCGCTATCCTGCCTAAGATTTTTTTTTGTATGTATATTTTGACTCAAAATTATTTATTAAAATAGAATATAACTACAGGCCACTTGTGCTTTAGTAAATATTTTTGCCATCCAGGCTTGAAACAGCATTTATAACCACAATACAGTTTGCAGGTCCAGTTGATTTGAGAATAAGTCTCCATAGTGCAATTCACTTTAGTTTGGGTACCAGATGAGTACATGGACTAATGGTGAAGTTTGGGCAGAAATAATATTTTGCCTCTTCTTAGAGGGGTCAATAATGTAAACTGGATTCTGGTTATTTGGATTCTGTACCTTTCTATCTCAAGCGACACTTTCTGCGAAAACAAAAGGGCCCTGGTGACATTTTATCCAAAGCTTAAAATAGTAGATAGATGATAGAAAGATGATAGCTTGCTAGCTAGCTAGCTAGACAATACTGCTCTATATAAGAAATAGTACAGCTTGGAAGAAGACTATTGCCTCTGGAGTCAAATAATATAAATCTATGTCTGTTACCCACAGTCACTTTGGAAAATTACTTTCTATGAAAAATCTCAATATTCACATTCTCAAAATGTTCATATCTTTTTTCAGTGTTTTCAGATTATCAAAAATGTTTGTAGCATGCCTAGCAGAGTGCCTGTTGCCTATAAATGGAGTTATTACTATTTTTCTCTATAGTCATTATACTTTGTGAGAAAACTTCATAGTTTAATTTTTAATTATTAGTATAAATTTATCATTTAAAAAATATTAAAGAATCATTTTGCATTAAACTCATGTTTTAAAATTTCTTATATTCAACCTGAACTCTGTTTATTCATTTAGTGATTTCCATTCCTTCTAATCATTTGATGAAAACCCTAAGCTCAAATGTGAGGCCACAAGACCGTCAGAGTTCTTTCAGAGCACAGGGCAAAACTCATGACGTTATTAACTTCTAATATCTTCTCATAAGTGTGGGTCTCTGAAATTGCCTCTCCCAAATAAGATTTCTAGGCTAAAGTAGCCCCGATCTCATAGAATTATAGGGAATTCACATATTAATTCTTTTTTTATTATAAAGATGTGGGGTACAATTCAGGTTTAGGTATATAAATGTTGATTAGGCATGTACCCTTGTTAATGAGGTATGCTCCTCCTCCCCTAGCAGTTTCCCTCAACTGCCAATCCCACCCTCCTTCCCTGACAGTTTCCCACTACTGCCAATCCCTTTCTTATAGTATTATAATTGTTCATGGTCCGCTTATGAGTGAGAACATATGGTACTCTGTTCTTTGTTTCTGTGATAGATCACTGAGTATGATCGACTCCAAATTCATCCAAGTTGCTGCAAAGTTCATAAGCTTGTCCTTCTTTCTGGCTGCATAATATTCCATTGTGTCTATGTATGACAGTTTTTAAAAATCCAGTCCAGCTTTGATGGGCAACATGGTTAGTTCCATGTTTTTACTATTGTGAATAGAGCTGCAACAAATATACGTGTGCAGGTATCTTTTTGTAGAATGATTTGAGTTCCTCCGGGTATAGTCCCAATAGACGAATTGCTGGGTCATATGGAAGGTCAACTTCTAGTTCTTTCAGAAATTGCCACACTGTCTCATATATTAATTATTAAGCTAATATCTTTCAGGGATTCTAAGGAGTTTCCTGGGGAGGCAGGTGTGCTGAGGCTGGTTTTGCTCTTCTTTCTGAAATCTATTGTGCTGATGCATAAGTTTGTAGTGTTTACTTTTGACATGGCAACACTGCAGTGCTGGGAGTTTGTTTATGGTTTGGCATTTGTCATTTGGAATGATAATGTCCACTCCATATTCGTGCTTGCGAATATGCCTTGCATTTTGCAGATTCGAAGAAAGTGCCATTTGTGGGCTAAAGAAGATGGAGTGTCAAGTGGAAAAGAAATGAACACTTCTGATATATTCTTCTTTTTAAGTTTAACAGAGGTGTAAAGGCAGTGGAGGTGGCTCGAAGCATCTGTGTTCTGTATGGGGAGAATGGCATTGGGGAAAGCACAGAGAGAAAATGGTTTGTCGTTTCAACGAGGGTCACTTTGACCTCAGTGATTCTCCATGTTCAGGAATGCCATCGGGCTTTGATGAAAACCATTTAAACACTTTAATCCATGATGATCCATAGTCAGTCAACCCGAGAATTGGTGAATGTGATGAACTGTGGCCAATCAAGCATTGGGCAACTTTTGTATTCAATAGGCAAGCAAAAACGCCACGAACTTATGCATCAACCCCATAGTTAAATCTGACACCCACTCACACAAGAGGCAGAAGAAAACCACTGTGAGCATCTGTGGCACAACTTTACTGTCCAGTAGAAATCAAACTTTATTTAATGTATAATATTTAGTATGATTAGAGGTTTGACAATATGGTATTTATATGCACATTTGAACTCTGAAAACATAAGAATAAATATAATTAAGTCCCTAGTTTAAAAACTGTTAAAACATTAAGTTAAATCACAAACAAAAAAACACAGAGCATGTGTAATCAAACATTTGAAAACATGGTGCTGCCAATTTAAGAATTGTGGAACCGCTGGGAGGAAGCTTGCACTGATGTGCTTTCCTGCCATGGGCAATCCTGAAACACTGAGTATGACAGTCTGCGCCCTATTTGATTAACCCCTACCATCTATTCCAGGCTAATTCTTACAGAATATCAAGTATATACACAATTTCAGGCAACTCTAAAATGTGTTTTATGTTATTGAACCCAGTGAAGATATGATAAAAATTATGATGATTTTGTTGTTGTTCAGTACTCCATAAAAAACAAAAAAAAATTCCTTGATTTTTGATTTTATGGACCAATATTTTAGGGACGAGAATTCTTACCACATTTGAAGGCTCTAATTTCTTCCTTCTGGCAAGATCAGTAATGTTGATGCCATTGTAGTTAATGCTTTCCATACAGCCTTTGAAATTCTTCCTACTACTGGAACTTGGCTTGCCAGAGAAAGGTATGCCTCCAAAGGTTATCTGTGAGAAAAATAAAATAAAATGTAAACATCCACACTGTATTACAATAAACTAGAAAAAAAATCTATGAATACAGCCAATGCCAAGTATCTTTACCTCAATCAAAATATATAAATATTATAGTATTCGGCCTCCAAATTCTGTTGCACATTAAATTGTTATTAAAGTGCATAATTGAATCATTAATTCTGATACCTAGATTATAACTTAAACAAGAAAATAAAAATTCTTTGCATTTTTACAACCCAAAAGACATTTTATAATTGTTCTTGAGAATGTTTTAAATCATCATTTTATCTGGCAAAATCCTTTCATTAAATAATTCTAAAAATATATTTTGTGTTTATCATTCAAAGGCATATTATCAATACATGTCTCTAGTAATTATGAAATAATCAGTACTAATGTAATAAAACTACAGCCCAAAGCAAGAAATATTATATTATATTTATTCTATGTAGACTTGCAGCTGAATGGCCATTAGAGTCAAAAGTTCATTATTTTGAATAAAGAAATAAAATAGTTTTACTATATTTTTAGAAATCTCCTAGGACTTTGGAGCTATAAGTTGAGCAGTACAGGCTTAAAGATAATAAAGAGTTTTAAAATCCTAAGAAATAAGGACAATGTTACTTATTGTGCTTCTCTGGCTATTATTGCATATAGAAAGAACGTATTTTTAAATACAGTTTTGAATATGTATTCTATTGTAGCATTAAATTTCATACAATAAAAAGTAATATGTAATATATGTATGGCCAATAATATCATTTACTACTAAGAGTGAATTACTAGAAAGTTAAGCCAACTGTTAATCAGAGTTATAATATCAAGATATATGATCCAAATGTTATGTCTCTTTTAAATTATTACTCATATTACTATTATAATTGTTTCTTAAATATTTTTGAAAATGAAAGCAATAGTTATGATACTTTTAAATGTCAGGACTTCACATTTGATGCAGGAGGGAAAGATCCTGCTTTGTATTTTCAAGGACGCTCATGTTCTATTATTTAGTGTCATGGCATTTAAAAAGCTTAATTAGTTTGGAGGAGAAATACAAACTGATAGTTTGTGAAGCAATAGTAAAAAACAAAACAAGCTGGACTCGGTGGCTCAGCCTGTAATCCTGCGCCTTTGGGAGGCTGAGGTTAGTGGATTGCCTGAGCCCGCGGGTTTGAGACCCGCCTGGGCAGCGAGACCTCCTCTCTACAATAAATCAAAAAATCAGCCGGGCGTGGTAGCGCATGCCTGTAATTCCGGCTACTTGGAAGGCTGAGGTGAAAGGATTGCCAGAGCCAAGCAGGTCGAGGCTGCGGTGGCCAGGAGCGGCCACTGCACTCCAGTCCGGGCGACAGAGTGAGACTCCAACTCAAAAAAAAAAAAAAAACCAAAAAAACCCAAAGCAAATGTGGGCATGGGAGTGCATTCCTGTAGTTACAGCTACTTGGGAGGCTGAAGCCAGAGGATTACTTGAGCACAAGAGTTTAAGACCAGCCTCAGCCAACAAAGCAAGACCCTATCTCAAAAAACAAAAAACAAAAAACACCAAAAAAAAAAAACCCACAAAGAAACAAGGTCTTATTTAATATAACATGAATTATATATAGTTCACCACAGAGTTTATATACAAGAAGGAAATGAGAAAATTGAGAAAAAAACAAATATTTTTTAAGAATTAGAAAACTGCAAAAAAATAGAGAATAATTTAAAATAGAATTACTAGAAAAATATTTTCAAGTTGAATGGAACAGAACATATTAAATATTGTGTAAGTGTATCCGATATCAAAGGCAATCGTTTTTCACAACAAATTGGAGTACGGTATTTCCTGCTTACAATTTCTTTGGTCAATTTCTTCCCCATCTGACAGTAATAAAATCTTCTGTTTTGTACAGTCTCACATGTTGAACAATATTACTATATACAAGTTTCAAAATATTGTTTCTTGCCTCCATATGCAGTTTAACTTAGGTCTTTCATTTTCCTTTGAGAAGATGATTCAAATGCTCCTTATGTTTTCTCTGCTTTCAACAATTCTTGGGACACGTCCTGTCCTATCAAAGGTGCCCTGATAAAGCACTACAGGCTCAAGGTAAGAGATTCCTAATGATTATTTGGGTTCTAACTCCAATTGCTAATGCCACTAATGATGAGATATTAGATTGTCACTTACTCTTTCTTAATATGTATTGTCATTGGTAAAAAGAAGGGTAGGACCACAAAATATTTTCTGACATCTTAATGGTTCTGATAGTTTTAAAAAATTGTTGCAATTGTCAGATTAATATAAATTTGCTTGTGGTTCATATAATAGACTTATTAATGATATTGCCAGTCAGTAACCTTGCTTTTAAAAGAAATAACTGCATATTAGCAACTTTGTTAGCTAGAAAGTATGACAGAGGCTGCTAGATATCTCTATTTTTTCTTCTTCTCACTTCTTTAGGGAAAAAAATACAGTCAATGTAAGAAATTATCAACCTCTTTGAAGCTAGTTTTGGTTTTATGATATTCAAGTGGAAGGGTTGTGTGTGAGTCCAAAATTGTCACTAAGGGGAGATGGTAGTCTTCTTTAGTCTTTAGTCTTCTTCCTTCCTGCTGGTTGGAGTGCAAAGTAGAATGTGAGCAGCCACATTGGAGTGAATTGCAGTTGGGAAAGAGCACAGCAAGATTAAAAGGAATAGTGGCCTTAATGACCACAGAGTGGTCATTGAACCTGTTACCTGCCTCCAGATTCTTTTTATATATAAAAGCCTAAGTATGCATCTGTGATATACAGCCTAAGAAATCTTAGCATATGTATGTATGTGTGTGTATATACACACACATATTTTTCCAATTATATTCTTTTGCCTCCTTACATAAACCTATGAGAAATGTACTATTATACTTATTTCATAGAAGGGGAATATGAATTATCCAGTCACACAACCAGTAAGGAGCAGAAAGGGATTAAAACTCAGGCTTCTGCTCCTGTTTGAGTCTATGTGATTGATTTTCCTACCAGCCAGTCTGTGGGTATGCCATGGTCAAGAGGGAGTCATTTCTCTACTTTCCTGGCAGAGCTGTATTGCAAAAGAAAACAGCAGAATTTTCACTGCGGGTGTGTTCTGGAATTTAGCTGAAGAACAGAGAGAATCTAGGCCAAACACCATTTTGTTGTTCTGCCCTTTGGTTTCATTGGCTTGGAGGAGGAAAAATGAAGTGATGCACATCTGTGCGTCACCATACCAGTCTCTGCTTATCCTGTGGCTATCAGGCTAACTGCAGGTGGTGACTGGCCTACCTCGTAGTGTACACAGTTAGAGAGAAAGGGATGAGGTAAACTCCTAGGCCTATGATAAATGTCCACCCTGAGTGAGGTTAAGGAGTTAGCTTGCATTCTGTTGTTTTTTTCATAATATTCATCTCTAGGAATGGTAATAGGTATATTGAATTTACCCCTGGCAGTGCTGTGCTGGACCCTACCCATTCTGGCTCATGAGAACTGACTGTCAAACAGAGCTATTATTAACAATTAAATTATATAAGCTAGAAATGAAACAAATTACAATAAATACAAGATAAATAACTGCTCAGAACTCATATATACTTTTTACTGTCATATGTGTTCTTGAGGTTATTTACACTTATTGTGTCTATATGATGGAAATGCTGTGCTATTGGGCAACCCTTACCACCTTGCTGCTCAGTGCTGTCATGTTGGTAGGATGAAATCAACCATGGTACAGAATTCACATCATGAAAATTAACAAATCTTACATATCAGAAGATTTCTCCCTTCCTCCCTAGAGAGTCAGTCGTTAAGCATTTACTGGCACATCCTTGCTCTTAAGTCTCAATGTCCATGGCCTTAAACCACTCTGGAATAACAGAAGCAGCGTAATCTTGGGGAAGCAGTATATACCATCTTCAGACTTTGTGAAGATAAGACCAGGTTTCTGTTCCTTTAAGCTAAAGTCTTTAAATACATTGGTATGAACATTATATAATTTGTATTATTTTATATTTTAAACTAATTTTCATGTAGTATATGAGATGTGTCTAGTTAATGTGTGGAAACATCAAGGAGATAAATCCCACAACACTGAGAGACTAACTTTAATATAGCCCTCAAGTTTGTCTAAACAAATAAACAAAGGGAGTCCCTTTCTACTGAGATAAAATTGTAGAAATATAAAGGTAGGCACAACCACTTATAATACAGCTTATGCCAATAATTGCAGTATCTAAGACGGTAATAAGTCAGTAGCCAGGAATAAGTTACATCTATCCTGATTCTTTCTCCATAAATTTAAATTTCTTCCTAGTGTCTCTCTCTAACAAATGTTTCCCAGGCATTTGTAGTCTTCAGTTGAAGATCCTAAACATAGTATTGTATAGAGATGGGCTTCAAAGTGTCCATGGAACGGTGGACCCCATATGGAAAGTGTTGTGTGTGCATGAATATTTATAGACTTCATCAAAAACTCAATAGGATCTATGACCCCAAATTTTTAATTCTGTTTTTTGAGAATTGAAATTATGTTTGCCCATTGCTAACGTTCCAGGATTTCTCACCTCTTCTATGATAGTTCAAAGTTTATTAATGGAAGATAAATAATTCATCCTTAAGATCACTCATACATCAGGAGACAAGTCACATGAGTCAAGATTTATACTAATTTAGAGAACATAGAAATTTCTGGGATTTTCACATTATTTTTTATTTCCACAATCAATTTTCTTGAAAGAGATATTTATAAAGAGTAGAGAGAAAATTATTTCCCTATAACCTTAAATTAAATGACAATGGAACAGCCCTGGATCGTAGGGCCATATATCTCTAGGCTCCTTTTATATAAAAGAGAATAAACTTGCATCTGTCATATACAGTCTAAGTAATATTAACTTATATATATATATATTTTCTACTCCTTCCTGATGTCTCCTCATATAACTCTATAGGAAATATGCTATTATATTCATTTTACAGACAGGGAATATGAATTGTCCACTATAACACAACCAGTAAGGTGTAGAAACAGATTCAAATTCAGGACACTTTATATTATGTTAATGAAGTCTCCCTCAGTATTTATACAGTATATTCTATTCTAAATTTTTATTTAGGGATATACGTATATAGTGTATTCATATTGCAAAAGTTTTAGAAACTATTTAAGTATATCAAGAAAATCGAAAACACAGCTAATAATCCTGTTCTTTCCACTTATTATTTTATATTTCACATTCTTTTTTTTTTTTTTTTTTTGAGTTGGAGTCTCATTCTGTCGCCCAGACTGGAGTGCAGCGGCCGCTCCCAGCCACCGCAGCTTCGACCTGCTGGGCTCTGGCGATCCTTCCGCCTCAGCCTTCCGAGTAGCCGGAATTACAGGCATGTGCTACCACACCCGGCTGATTTTTTGATTTATTGTAGAGATGAGGTCTTGCTGCCCAGGTGGGTCTCGAACCCGCAGGCTCAGGCAATCCACTCACTTCAGCCTTCCAAAGGCGCGGGAGTACAGACTGAGCCACTGAGCCCGGCCCATATTTCACATTCTTAAAATTTGATGTATAAATATAGATAAAACACACACATGTACAGGTACATACCTGCAATTTCAAGACTGGATGCCAAGAAACACTAAGGTGGCACTGCTAATTCACAGATTTCCATAGTATATTTTGAATTTTTAAAGAAAAGGCAATACTTGACATAGTTTGAACATTGAGTGAAACATTAACTTGAGGCAGTTTACTGTTCTGACATTAGATCATGCTACATTCCTTTTAATATGCACCATCTTTGTGAGGTTGGGCTTTTTTTGTCATTACTCTGTTTAAAACAGAGTATCACATAAAGTTAAAAGTGGAACAAAAAACTAGGTTGTTGATGTCAATCTGATTCTAAAATCTGACAAGTGTGCTGTAGAAGAGCACTTAACCCATTATTACTTAACCAATTATTACTGCTATTTAAGAGTGAAATAAAATTATTTCTTTTATTTTACATGTATTTCTTTAAATGGCTGCCAAAGATTTAGGATATAAATTTTTAAGTTCTTTGAACCTGATAGTCTAGTACTGTTATGGAAAACATTCTAAGACACTAAAGACTCCATGAACTGAAAGAGTTTGAAAACCTCTGACTGAGTAATATTTAATCCTTTTCATTTTACCTTTAGGATGCTTTTGTACGTGTAGTGTTATCTTTCTTTTTGTAATAGACATAACACTGTGACAAACATCTTCTGAGCAACTCTTGTCTTTATATATAATTAACAATTTTGATGGACATTTAAGGTTGAATTGCTCTCCAAATAATTTATTTAAAAACCTGATATGGGCAGGGTGAAGAGGCTCATGCCTGTAATTCCAGCACTTTGGGAGGCTGAGGGGGAGGATAGCTTGAGGCCAGGAATTCGAGATCAACCTGGGCAACAAAGTAAAACACTCATCTCTCCAAAAATTAAAAAATTAGCTGGGCGTGGTAATGCATGCCTGTAGTCCCAGCTACTTGGGAGGCTGAGACAGGAAGATCACTTGAGCCCAGGAGTTCGAAGCTGCAGTGAGCTGAGATAATGCCACTGCACTTCAACCTGTGAAATAGAGTAAAACCTGTCTCAAAAACAAAACAAGTCAGGGATGGTGGCTCAAGCTTGTAATTACATTACTTTGGGAGGCCAAGGCAAGAGGATTGCCTGAGTCCAGGGGTTTGAGACCATTCTGGGCAACTTGGTGAGGCCTTGTCTCTATCATAAATAAAAAAATTAGCCAGGCATGGTGGCAGGCACCTGTAGTTCCAGCTACTTGGAAGGCTGAGGCAGAAGAATAGCCTGGGGCCAGCAGGTAGAGGCTGTGACGGCTGTGAGCATGCCACTGCCCTCCAGCCTGGGAAATGAGTGAGACTCCAACTCAAAAAAAAAAAAAAAACCATACCTGATCTGTCTACTAGTAAGTTATGGAAATATATTTTTAACAATATCATCGATTATTTTTAAATTTCTAATTATTAGGAGAGTAAATTTTGTCTTTTTATTAGTGAACAATCTCTTTACTACTTTCTTTCTTTAATGACAATTATACCTGAGAAGATAAACTCATCAAATACCCATCTACAGTCATGAGTTTATAAATGATTTAATATAAACCAGAAACTAGGATTTTCTATTCAATACTTTGTAATAAATATGACGACCCTTTATATATAACATACTGCACATTCTCAAGGGGAATTACTAGCATAATTAACTACCAGTGAAAATATTACAAATTAATTTATCCTGAACTTATTAAATGTCCCTGTTAATATGGTCCCTCTATTTAAATTATTACTTGGGTATAAGATTCTTTTTTTTTTTTTTTTTTTTTTAGTTGGAGTCTCACTCTGTCGCCCAGACTGGAGTGCAGAGGCCGCTCCCGGTCACCGCAGCCTCGAGCCGCTGGGCTCCGGCGATCCTTCCACCTCAGCCTTCCAAGTAGTCGGAATTATAGGCATGTGCTACCATGCTCGGCTAATTTTTTGATTTTATCGTAGAAATGAGGTCTCGCCTGCCCAGGCGGGTCTTGAACCCGCGGGCTCAGGCAATCCACTCACCTCAGCCTCCCAAAGACGTGGGATTACAAGCTAAGCCACTGAGCCCGGCTCGGGTATAAGATTCTTAAAACAATACTCATGGTTGCAAATTTAAAAATAAATAAAATAACACGCATGTATAAAGTAGGTTTTAAAATTGTAAGTTTCTCTTTGAGAAGAAAATGAAAATGGTATAGGTAGGTATATGAGTAACAACAATACAAAAATACAGTAGGAGACTGAGGCAGTTGTTGGATATTTATTGCAATTTATATGTCATCACCACATGTACCTCATAGTCCAAGTCCAGGTAGTCAAACTCTCCATTGGTACGGAAGTGCTGCATGCTCCTGTCCAGGGTGAGGTTAATACTCCGTCCCTGGCGCTCAATGACCACAGAGTGCCAGTGGTGATCATCCAGCAAACTTCCTGTCATCACTGATGTGTGGCCATATATGGGGCCAAGCTGGTTGCTTCCTGTCAAAGGAGTAAAAAAGAAACAAGCCAATGATCCCATGACCAACTTCCTGTAGCAGAAGATCTTTCATTTACAAGACCTAGGGCTGACATTCCATCAAAACTCTATCCATTGAAGATAACCCACAAGTAACTACATTTAAAAACACAGTATGTAAAAGATAATACAGATGGAAAAAAGTCTATTCCCTTAAAAAGAAAAAAAAATGAGTGTAGTCTGACTGTGCCAGGGATTCTGCTAAATTTTGGTAAATTCCTTCCAACATCATCATTACATGGGCTTTGACATCCCCATGCTGCGTTCTGATGCTGGCTCCACCAACAGCTCGGTGTACATCCTGGGGAAATTGATGAGTACTCTGGGTCTCTGTTTGCTCATATATAAAATGAGTCTCTGCTTTATAAAGTTGCTTGAATATTAAGTGAGTTAGTATAGGTAAATAATTTATTATACTTCCAGGCTTATAGACAGCATAACTGTGCCTGTTAATCTTTTATTACTGTTATCATTATTGATCAAGACGACACAACATGACAAGTTTCAGTTTTTGTTGACTCCAAAAGTCATTGTTGCAAAGTAAGCACTATATAGTAGTTAATGGCATAAAATTTACTTATTTTTTAAATTAAAATAAAAACATGCAGAAATACATAGGTAGCATTGACCTAGTTTTGAAATATGATCTAAATAGCAACAAAACTATAAGTAAGAGTAAAAGGTCATTAGAATCTAAAATGTTTACTAAGTTAATCTCTTGATGTGGTTAACATGTTTCATTTCATTCTTTTATTTTGTTTAATCAAGTATTTCTTTTCATGGTCAGGCAAAATTAAATGCTATAAAAACATAATATGGTTTCAAAATAAATAGCAAAATAGAAATGAAGCATAATAATCACATTAAAATGTCTTTCTTTTTTTCTTTCTCTTTTGACATTTAGTATGCTAATGATCCCTAGGTTGTACATAATCTCAGTCTTCCTAGATAATCTTTTCTTCATGTATGGTAATGAAATCAAATTTTGATGTGTAATAGTGATTGCATGTGTGAATAAAAAATGAAGGAGAGAAAAGAGGAGGAGGGAAAGAGAGAAAGAAAAGTGGGAACAATCTAAGTGAAAGGTCATACTGAGTTTTATTAGTTTAAATATTTATATTAGAAGACTGAGCAGCAGACAAGTATGTCAGATATTTAGATAATCACAGAAAATACTAACTGTAAATACTGGAGTGGATTTATTTATCTGGCTAAATTCTAGTCAGTCAATAAAATGTCAGTAAACTGCTTTTCAGTGAAAAGGTAATAAACCTTTTTTGGTAAGGTCATATAGTCAGTTACTTGTTTCAAAACAGTAATGCCACACCTCTATATAAACCACAGTTGATTTTAAAAGGTTACTCTACATGTTTCATATTTTTTTTAAAAAAAGAACGCTTTAAAAAAGTAAACATTTTTAGATATAATTCAACTTCTATGGGGGTATGCATGCACAAGTGCATATTTTTACAAAAATATTTATATTTTGTTTCTGGTTCCTCTCCCTTCACCCTTTTGTCTTTCCCTCTGTTGAATCTTGTTTTAAGAATAATTTCAAGCCGGGCTTGGTGGCTCAGCCTGTAATTCCGCGCCTTTGGGAGGCTGAGGTGAGTGGATTGCCTGAGCCCGCAGGTTCGAGACCCGCCTGGGCAACTTGGCGAGACCTCATCTCTACAATAAATCAAAATGAGCCGGGCATGGGTAGCGCATGCCTGTAATTCCGACTACTCGGAAGGCTGAGGAGAAAGGATCGCCGGAGCCCAGCTGGTCAATGCTACAGTGGCTGGGAGCGGCCACTGCACTCCAGTCTGGGCGACAGAGTGAGACTCCAACTCAAAAAAAAAAAAAAAAAAAAGAATAATGTCAGGCTATTTCCCCCCAGGTAGCACAATGAATGCATGCTACTTCTTACAAGTAGAGAATATTATGAAGAATTAACAAGTAAAATAGAATGTAAAATCATTTCCACGGCTAAAAATAGTTTGGCTTATTTCCTTCCAGATGTTTTTTTCATGTTTAGTCATGTACTGTGTAATGACATTTCTGTCAATGACGGACTTCATACACGATGGTGGTCACATAGACTTAATATAAAAATTTTACTGTACCTTTTTCATGTATCAAAATGGAAATACCATAATTCTACAAAGATCCTACAGTATTCAGTACAGTAACATGCCGAAAAGCAATAGACTATACTAGGAGCAATAGACTATACTATCTAGTTTAGGTGTGTAGTAGATTAATGCCATCTGGGTTTGTGTGAGTTTACTCTATGATGTTCGCACACCTAGATTAAAATTGCCTAACACAGCATTTTTTAGAACGTGTCCCTGTTGTTAAGCAACACACGTCTGTACATACATTTAATTATATACATAAATGTTACACGTATGCTCATGCATATATATTTAATATAAAATAATGATATACTATTTATATTTTCATTCCACAGTTTTAATTTAGTTTTTTTTTTTTTTTGAGTTGGAGTCTCACTCTGTCGCCCAGACTGGAGTGCAGTGGCCGTACCGCAGCCTCGACCTGCTGGGCTCCGGCGATCCTTCCGCCTCAGCCTTCCAAGTAGCCGGAATTACAGGCACGCACTACCACGCCTGGCTGATTTTTTGATTTATTGTAGAGATGAGGTCTCGCTGCCCAGGCGGGTCTCGAACCCGCGGGCTCAGGCAATCCACTCACCTCAGCCTCCCAAAGGCGCGAGATTACAGGCTGAGCCACCGAGCCCAGCTCATAATTTGTATTCTTAAGTGACCCAGGTTTTTGTGTGACTTTTTCTTTCTTTCTTTTTTTTTTATAAATGCTATTATTTCCATTACTTTGCACGAATTGTAATTTTGAATGCTAGTACCCATGTTGTTGATCTTTTCTTTAGATTTAAGTAAATTCTACCTGCATTATCCATATACAAACATACATTAGTATTATTCACTTAAAAACAACAAAAACTCAAAACAAAACAATAACTGAGTTAAATTTATCTTTCTCTGGCCAACATTTCATTTGTTTGCTTCCTTCATTTCTAACTGGCTGTATTCAAGATATTTATATCCACATCCCTCCTTCTTTTTTTAACCTATTAAAAAAATCAATGAAACTTCTGTTCTTTCCAGTCCACTGAGAGTAAATTAACAATAGCCTCCATGTTGTCAAAACCAATATTCACTTCTCTGTCTTCACCTTATGTGACATTTTAGATGAATTCAATACATTTGACAACTTCTCTTATTTCCTAGGTCTCTGTGATGCTATTCTTTATTCTTTATTTCTTCCTATTCACTGTCTACTTCTTCTTAGTCTCCATTGTATGAGCACCTTTTCCTGTCAATCTCATATATGCAACTCCATTACAGAAAGTTGTACTTAGATATTTAATAACCAACTCTAATGAACTATGTCTAGATGGATCCCCAGATATTCTCCTAAAGTTTTCTCTATTTCTAAAAATGGCATTAATGTCCATTTAGCACCCAAGCTCAAAGCCTAAGAATCATTCTCTATTTCTACTTTTTACTTCTAATGCCATATAGAATCCATCACAAGTCATGCTGAATTTACCACTAAAATAATGTCCCTAATCGACACATTTCTCTGCATTACCACTGACAACCACCTTGTGCAAGTCAGCCCTCTTTCCCAACCATGCAGAAGTCCTGCTTTGACACTCATGCAGGCACAATTCTTACACAAATCTCAGTGCACTTTTAAAATTAAGATGCCATACAGTTGAAAGTCTTCCAACACCTCCCCATTCTTAAAATAATATCTAATACTCTACCATACCCTGCAGGAAACCACCGAAATTGGTCAATTTCCTCCTCTTGGATTTCATCTTCTATCTTAATAACTCACTGCTTTTATTCACATCAGCCTCCTTGTTTCTTTCGCATGCCAACCCGTCGTCTTCAATGATCCCTCCCTATGAAACTCTTTCCTTTTGATGGTTCATGGCTAGTTTCTTTTTATCACTCGAATCTTAGCTTGAATATTTTCTCCTTAGAGAGGAGTTTCCTCACTATTCATTCTAACATTGGCCCCAGTGCCTCTGAAAAGGGCATATTAACCTATTTTCCTTATCATCTTCACCTATTTTACTGACTTCATAATATTTATTATTTGAAGTTATTTCTTTTTGTTTAGTTGTTTTAAAATAAAAATGATAGATGATATAGTGTCTGATTCCTCTGCTCAGTCACAAACTTTATGAGTTTAAGCACTTTGCCTCTTTGTTCCCTGCTGTATGCCTAAGGCTAACATAGCGCCTTATACAGTACAGGTGTTTGATAACCATTTCTTGAGTGAATAGATATATCATTCTATACCAACCACTATGGATTAAGAATGAACTGACAATGCAATGAGAACTCTTTCTACAATTTACATTTTAAGAATTTAAGCATTAACATTATCCTAAAGGGAATATGAATAACACAAAGAATGGTAGCAATAGTCAGGATATACCTAGGTTTAAACTGAGAACCAGCTTGGCTTTTTTCAGTTCCAAAGTGATGTAATCCCCTTGCTGGCCTTCACCATGCAAAATTACTCCTTCACTTTCAGAGGTTTTAAATTTCAAGGCAATGACATCTTTCAGTGTTTTCATCTTCTTGTTTCTGAATCTATATGGTAGCACAACATGACCATCAAAGTTGATAACATCAGCCCCTAAAAAAAAAAGGGAAAAACATTTCAGTTCAGTTATTGTATGCTATCATCCACTTCCAATGGGTTTCTGCACAGTTTAAATGAGAATTAAAGATATGCTTTTCATGAGAAATCTAGAGTCTTGGGTTCTCATTCTATTTCTTCTTTGGATTGACTGGGTATTTTAAGTGGGATTTAGAGAGAATGTTAATTTTTAAAAATTATCATAAAAGCCTTCATCAATATAAAATTTTGCTTTAATATTACAATAAATTAAAAATCATGTAATATTAAAGTAAAATTCATGGAATGGTTCGAAGTTATATTGCAGCCATTCAGATCAAATATTGAGTTCAAATATTAATAGAAGCTTAGTTACCATTATTAAGTCTTTATCCCAAAAAATATTGTCAAAAATCCACTGCTGCTAGCTTTTCATTTTTAAGTCATAAAAAACCTGGTTGAACCAGATAGTTCTAATTGCCATAGAATTGCAAGCCTGAACAAAGCTAGCCTCTAGGTTTTGAGTAAAGTCTGGCTAAATAATTCTACCAGGAGACATTGGAGGAAAATAATAGCAAGTTTAAAGCCTGTCAGAGAAATATTTTCTCATTTCATGTCCTAGTTCCCTGGCATTTGTTTACTTCAATCACCACTGGGAATACTTTGGTTCGCCTTGTAAGTGGAGCTTACCACCTGATAAATCCCCGTGGTGGCAATGTAAGAGGAACAAAGCCGCCATAACCACGTCTACTGTTTATTGTACACTATCTCCCATTCCAATTACTTGACTTCACCTAATTTTATGAAATGAATTGTTTGAATATAGTTATTTCAAACATTACTTTAAATTAAATCTAAACTTTTCTTTTATGTCATCAATGTCTTTCACATACTTTAAAAACATTTGCTTTACTATCTCAAATATTTGTGCTTTTGAATGATAGCTGGGGCAATGTTACATCATAAAAAGTTCAGAAAAAAATAAACTTTAAGTTTTAATTCTTAAAATAAGCTCTTTATTGCCCATAAAAAAGACTTTCTTAATCAACAGAATTCTGTTCTGTGAGACTGTGAATCACAGAGGTTTATTTTAATATGAGGAAAAAAATTCAACCATTAAATTTTGGCTTCTGCTAACACTGCAAAGCCAATTAGACTTTAGCTTAATCATCTATACTGTCACAGCTGAATTCCAATGGCAATATCTTTATCATCTGTGATGAGAAATAAAGAAGAGAAAAAAGTAGAATCTGATTTTCAGATCCCAGGTTGAATTTACAATCCAGCAGTTGATAGAAATTACTTTTTGTCTTGAAAAGTGAATAAATGAAAGGAAGAAGGGAGTAAATTCTAAACTCTAGAAAGTAATTTTGTAGTCAATTTCATATCAAAGACAGTTGAATAATAGACACATCATTGTTTAATACACCTTTATATACATTAATTGACATAAAATATTTCTTATTCATCTCTCAGAAAGTACATGTTCCCTGAGCTGAGGGAGAGGAAGGAATTCAATCCCTTAGACTTTCTCCTAAATCAAAACCTACATTCAGTTCCAGGTACAGAATAGAGATTCACGCAGATGTTGATGCCTTTCTGCCTTACATTTAAGGCAATAAGAAAATGTGACAAAAAGGATGGATATGGTGATTTTTTTTAGACTGTCTTAAGATGTTAACAAAAACAAGAAGGAAAGCTATTCATGTAGACCTATCTAATTTTACAAAAGCTAAGTGGTCAATGATCAGACGGGAAATTGATCCACAGCAAAAACAAAAAGTTTTCCTATGAATGGGTTCAATACATCCAAATTATCAGCCTGTTCTCTTGTGGATATAAGCTCAGGGCTGGCTGGCAAATTATGAAATTTCTAGAAATAATCTATGATATGTAATTTATACTTAAACATGTCATACACTTTTAAAGACTGTGAGATTATATTTCAATCATGTAACATCCATCAGAGTTAGCTCAATTTCCGACAGAAATACATTAAAATTTCACTTGGCATCTAATAATATGTTGCGTTTATTTGGGGACAGGCCACTTTTTTCTTCTATTATCCTGATTGCTCATCATTCCCTAGAATTAAGTTTTCTATGCAATGATTAAATATGTATGATTGAACTGTTTAAGCAATCTGAACAACAATAATGGCTAGTCAAAAAGTGAATGCAAAATCATAGTGTTTCCAAAATTTTGTTTCTAACAATAACATAGAGAGCTGGTAATATGCCCAATTCATCCAATCATCATGGTAGAAAAGTCTTTTCTTAAAAAAAATAGTTACTTAGTCTTTACTTACTAAATTTGAATAAGATATTTTAGAGAAGTATTTGCCATCTCAAGATTTTAATATTTTAAAATATATATTTGCTTTTACTACAAACTATGCTTATTGTTAAAAGAAATTAGACAATACAGAAATATAGAAAGTAAAAAGTGGATCCTAGCCACGAGATCACCAATGTTAATGGATAATAAGTTGACGCATATCAAAGATTTTGTACATTTACCTACTTATCTATCCATCTATGTAATATATGGAATCATACATGAAATATAAGCATATGTGTGTATGCATATGTGTGTGTGTGAGAGAGAGAGAGTGATAGAAGAAGAAAGGGAGTGAAAGAGAGGGAGAAAGGGAGAGAGAGAAAGAGGAGAATTTCATTTCATTTAGTCATGACCCAAAATGTACCATGATAGCATGATCGTATCATAGTTTGAGCTTTGGGTAATAAAATATTTATAGTGTAAGAAAATTGTATGTTTTAGCTCATTAATATGTTTTATTGACCTTTATACACTAAGGCTCTTATAAAAGTGAGTATATATATGTATATATATATATAATTTGTAAATGTAATTTATCATATTTATCACTTTTTAAAGTGTTTGAATATAGCACACCAACAAATTAGTATTTAAAAGTTACTTGTATGTAAACCCTGTTTTCTTATAAAAATGTATCACTTACTTGTAGAAGATCTGAGAGAAACAAGAAGGATTAAGGCAAAAAATTAAAAGGGCATGATTCTACTTTCCTGAAATAACCAATGATAATGTACTGTTCTTGATTGTTTTAAATTGCATGTACAGAATATTTATGTATGTACATAGGTACACATAGAGATAATATGGTATATAGCTTTACATTTGGTTTTTGTTACTGAATATCATATTTTTAAGCTCATCTCATAAATTTTTTTTCCAAAAAGCAGGATTTTGATTGACTAAAAATCTACCATCATTTTTATGTCCAACTTCTTCAATGAGAATAGTGGTTGCAGCTTTTTGAAACAAGCTTTTAAATTTTTGAATAATTTGAATTCAGCCAGCCCTGAGAAATTTAGCCCTGCTGTATTTTCCAAACTCATAGCTTGCTTTTTTTTTTTTTTTTTCTTTTTTTTTGAGTTGGAGTCTCTCTCTGTCACCCAGGCTGGAGTGCAGTTGCACTCACGGTCACCCCAGCATCGCCCTGCTGGGCTCCGGCGATCCTTCCGCCTCAGCCATTCAGGGAGCCGCAACTATAGGCACCGGCTATCATCCCTGGCTAATTTTTGATCTATTATAGAGATGAGGTCTCGCCAAGTTGCCCAGGCCGGTCTCCAACCTGCAGGCGCAGGCAATCCACTCACCTCGGCCTCCCAAAGTGCTGGGATTACAGGCTGAGTCACCGAGCCCGACCCATAGCTTACTTTTATACCGGGCTACCATCACCTCTTGTGTTGCCTATTGCATTAACACGGTTAAATGAACAATTCCGTCCTCCAGTCTTTTTTGCCTTACATGTATCCACCAGAAAACTAGAAAGATATTTTCAAAATTAGGTTTTCGCTGAAAAGATCCAAACCCAAGCTCTTCAGTATGGCCTATACCACTTTCAGTGATACAGCTCCAGCCTTCCCCCACAGCCTCATATTTTAGTGTTATATTTCTCCTTATATGCTAATGATAAAAAGCTGGCGGAATTCCTTGTGAATGTCCTAGTGCCTTCCCTCATGCTGTCGTGACTTTCTTCGATGAACAGTCATGTTTTCTTCTGTTCCTTTACTTTTAGGCATCTTCCAAGCATCAGAGAAGCTTCACCCACTAGAAAGCTTTCCGTGTGAAACCTTTGCCTATTGTTCCATAGCACCTTGCATGATTTTATCATATCACATTTCATGTTATACTGAAATTATCTTTTCCTCTGCATACATTAAGCTCTTCTAAAGTATAGATTTTGGATTGCTCCATCTTATTTTCCTGACACAACAAAAACTTCTTAAACTGGTCTAAACATAATTTGTGTTTGAAACAAGGCAAAAGAAAAATTCCACTGTTTCTTCTCAAAACCATACTTGGTGCCATACAGTTTACTTTCTGAGAGTATAGACATATACATTATGTAATGGTAGGCATCGATGCATTGATATAAATATCACAACTATGGGTTTATGCTATGAATAAATTTTAAAACAAAAAATGCTTTATTGTACTCACGCTTAAGTAAAATTAAAGGCTAAGACATTTAACTTCTGTATGAGTCTTAAATGCGAAATATATACTTTCTTTTTAATTGAGTGAATTTATGAGAAACTTGCCTATTCTAAGATTAAAGTTACTAAATTTTAAACATCCCTTTAACATAGTCATTGTATACTAATCTTAGATAGTTATTGATTTACGGAAGTAAGGGGGATTTACTTATTTGTTTTTATTTTTTGATGACTTCATACAAAATGAATGAGTCATGAGTCACGTTGTTGGCCCACTGAATCAAAACAAGACAGAAAAATATTAGTAATTTTTTGAAATTGTATTATTAAAATCATATTGTTATTCAACATCAAAATAAAAACAGAAAGCTGAGGTACTGTCTGCCTCCCAAAATGGTCATTAGTACATGTACACACATATATTCTATTCTCTCTCTTATCCATTCATGACCCACAGGATACCAAAAAACTAGAGTGATCTATTTTTAAGCAGGGTTACAACTCTAATATTTCTGATAATGCAGAGATAAT